TGGTCAGGGGCTTCTGCTTCCTAAAGACTGGCCTGATGAAAGCTGACTTCTTAAACCCCTTCCTGTCTCCCTTTGTCCTGCTATATTTTCCAGTCAGACAAATGGCAAATACTGGGGGGTGGGGGGGTAGGTGGTGCTCAGTCTTGATTTAGCCTATAAACCAAAAAGACTACATTTCCACTTATCCTATTTTAAACTAAGTACTTAAACACTGTGAAGTTCTTTTTTTTTTTTTTTTTTTTTCTGGGCTGAAAGAATCTTTATGTATTAGGGAGTAGGATCTTACAATTGCTGAGAGAGTTGAGAGAAACAATGAGGAACAGAATAAAAGAGAGAGGAGAAGGAGAAAGGAAGGAAAGACAGACACACACAGAGGTTTCTATATACACAATTCCAAAATTCGGGGAAGAAGAAACCTGTGCTGTTCTGTTACCTCTATCATCTTTTATCCTGTCTCCTAAGAAAGCTTTGGGTGTTCACATAACTTGGAAATAAGAGTCAAGAGGAGGCAAAGAGTATTCATTTGGAGAACCTACTTGACTTCATTTTCATTAACTCTATCAGACTCCAGGTTTTAAACACGTGGAGCAGGCGCCTCTAGCTTGGGGTTTGCTTAATGGATCATCTCTAAACAGGACACTCTGAATGAAGCCCTGTGGGGAGCTGGTGCTGTGTCAGTTTCCTAATTGTGTATTCTTGGGACACAGGACTGCAGAGATGAGAGAAACATGCCCAAACTTCAGTGAGACTCTTTTCTGGGTGTGGTGTAAACAAAGGCCACATGGTACCTGGATTTGGGGAAACTAGGAGAGTACAATGTTAACATAGACATCGCAATTTTGTCATTAGAGAAAATATAAAATATCACCAAAATCTCAAAAGTTTTCTTGTTTAGGTTGATTCTTTTGGCTACCCTGAAGATACTATCATGAGCCCAGGCTACAAAAGGGAATAGGGCAGCTCCTTGTGCCCTGGAGCCTTCACAGGTGTGTGCTGGGGGAGGAAAGGTGGGTGTCTGGATTTGCAAGAATTAGGCACCCTAGATACACACCCACCCCAAATTTTGCATTGAATGAAGAAAAGGCTAGCAGGAAATTTTTTCTACCAGTGTCTCCAATGAGAAGGGGGTTCTTAGCGTGGCTATGTAAATCAATACTGAGTTATTTCTTTGAATTCAAAGGCTATTTATCCAGGTCTAATTTCTTTAGAATTAATGTGATAACTGAGCCCAACTTAGCAACCAAACCTAGCCAGGCCTTAGCCAGTCTGAACGTATTTCCAAAGTCCCCTCCAAAACTGCAAACCCACTCCAGCCATCTAAGCATTCCCAGCCTACAAATGCCCACAAACACCCTTTCAGAACCAGAACAGCAGAAATTCTCAGATCCAATGTGGCCATTCCTCCACTGGCAGCCTCCGGCAGGCTGAGCCATAAGTTCTTTTGTCTGCTTCATGCAAATGTTTTTAAATAACATAACGGCCAATATAAGCTCCAACACCTCAACACCTTAAAAGGCAAAATTCAACCTAAGCTTCAAACTACGCCTCCTAAAACTTTGCAGAGCATGACCCTTATCTACAACAGACCTTAAAAAAGAGCCCATAAGCCTGGGACTCCTCGGGTGCCAGGTTTACTTCTATTTGAATGATAAAGGCTTCGCTCCCTTGGCGGAGGCCCTCCTCCTTCCACCCCCAGGGTTGGCCGGGTTCCCCTGCGGGCGAAACAAAGAAGTAGGAGCCAGGACTCCGCTGGCGGCGAACCAGGCGCCGGGACCGGGAGCCCCTGAGGTGTGTGCCTTTTTTGCAAAGCTCTGAAAAACCCGATATTTTGCCTCTCCCAGTAGGGCTGAAGGTGCTGCTTGCTCTTGGGCCAACTAGGGGCGACTCCAACCACCTCGAGGGAAGATGAACTGAGGTGAGGACTTTAATTGGAGCTAAAGGACAGGTGGGAACCGCTTCCGCCGCAGTCTTGGCGCGCTGTCTTTTGCTCCCAGTCTGGTGGCACAGGCCACACGTGGCAGACCCTCGCAGTGCGTCACCTTGACGCGCCCTGTGGGCCACACAGATCCTCTGACTCTCGATTCCGAGGTCTGGAGGGAAAGTCGGGCGGTCAGGATTGCAATTTGATGCTAGCCCGCAAGTGCAGAGAATGCAATCAAACGCTACACTACTTCTTCCCCGTTCCTCAGAGCCCACCTGGGTAGCTCAGCAGGTCTCAGCAGGACCGTTCACACACAGCTCCTTGCACCGGCACACCTGTACCCTCCGAACAGAGTAAAGGGATTTTATCCTCGATCTAACAGGGGAGAGATAAGAGCTCAGAAACTACAACTGGACCGAAAATCCCAGCCTGCCCGACTGCTTCGGGCATTAAACAAGCCGAGCTGGAAGCCCCATTTATAAATAAATGTTGCTGCACCCCAGGACCAGTGCTCGCAAGTGCCTAGCACCTTCCCAGGTCTCGCCATGGTCCACCCTGCTCCGTGTGCCTTCAGAGTTGCAGGAAGCCAGCGAGAAAAGCTGTGCACCTGCGAGCATAAAGGGAGAGAGACACTAGCACATGGATAAAAACGCCCTTACAGTTTTAGCAAGCTTTAGGGTATAAAGCAATAAAATTGCCACGTCTACCTGCTGGCTTTAAGGACATTACAAACAGGCTCGGGGCGCAGCTCGCCTACACCAAGGGCATACCGGGGTGGGGAGGAGCGCCTCCTCTTTCTTTGACCTTCCTTGTGTCCTCTCCTTTCTCACACATATATTCTCCTTACCACCTTGTATTTTCCTTGAAGATTTTGTTGTTGTCTTAATTCACTGCCGATTTGTAAATGCATGGATTGGGTTACTGCTCGCGTGTTAAAGAGCATCTCTTGTTAAAAGGAAGGGAACAAGGGACATCACTTAAACATGAATTCAGGGTTACTGAACCGGCTCCTGAGACTCAAGTTAAACCCGGCAGCTGGGGAAAGGAAGGGAGAACAAACGTCACTGTCCTGGGAACTTTGTAGAGAACCCGTGGTCAGCGTGCTTCAGGTCTCTGGATAACCATTTTAATATAAAATGGAGAGTAAGAAGGAAAAGAAAAAGGCAAACTCGCCTGGCGATGCCCGGAGACCTCGGGCTAAGAGCTGGGAAAATCAATTACCATAAGCCGCTTCCGGCGACCTTTGAGCACCCTTTGACTGGGGTCCGAGTAGCTCCGTCTGCAGCCGCCCGTCGCTGCGGCTAACCAGGGCAAGCAGCACCCTACCTATCATTTCTCAGGCTCCTCGGGTCCCGTAACTTAGTGGGTACAGGCGAGGTAGGATGCAAAGAAGTATCCTGCAGTTCTCCTAACAAGGAGACAGACACATTCCCGAACCTTTCAGACGCGACGACACGGGCTTGTTCGACTGCACCTTTCTTCGTCTGGATAAAGGCTGGCTGCTTCGGTCTCTGCACCACCCAGAACCGCCGCCGCGCCCGCGGAGGCCTGCAGGTCTCACCCACCCAGTCTGGACGCTCACTCGGGCAGCGCTGACTGCCGGTGCTCCCCGAAGTCCCGACACCTGGACCCTCGAATGGCTCGGCGCCAGCTCCGGCTTTCCTACCTGGTGGCTGGGCCTGAACCTTGCGCTGGGGCTCCGCTGTCTCTGCTCGACTGCCTGGACCTGAGTGGGTCTGGCGAACAGAGAGAGAAAGGCTAGATCCGCAGCCCTGGGCTGCTCCAAACTTAATGTCTTTCCCCAGTCCATCTTTGAAAGAGAAGTGGTTCTACCACCTGGATGTGCGGATATAAATCCCCTTGCAAATAATAAATGGATTAATAATAACAAGGTATGAAGTTCTTTTTATAGAAAAAAAGGAGAGAATTGAAACTAAATGCGGCAGTTAGACAACCATTTTGATAAGAGGATAATTGAGGCGACACTGGTGTATAATTAGAGGATAATTTATGCTATATCCACTTTTATTCCACCTCCCAAAATAAACCCAGTCCATAATCATTACAGGCAAATTGTTCTGAATTTTATAGCAGCAATTTGAACAAAGTACTGCAGTTAATCATGGGAGATTTTTGTGTATTCCTGATTAGAACTCTAATTGCCTCCTTCCAGAAAGTAAAAATAACTGTAAAACGACTCTATTTTTATCATTAACAATGTTGACAATAAAATAAAATCAATTGGAATTGTAATCGAGAGACAAATTTAGGACGAAGGCACTTTTACTTGGGTAGTTTATATTGTAATCAAGATTTGCCAAACCACTAACCGCATGTATCATTTGCATATATTTGAAAGCATTACAGTAGCTTCTGTTTTCAATAGGAAAAAATGCATTACTGTCAGTCCTCCAACGATTCGCTTTCAAAACAGGCTGCTACGTTGGGGGGGGGGGATCCCCCTCCACCCCTTCCAATATATAGGAATTACGGCCTGGGACGGGCAGGGACCTCGCCAGAACAGGGTCTGATTTTTTCCTTTTTCTTTACCACCCCTCTCGTGGGGTGGAGCCCAGGTGTGGGGGCTCTTCTTTCCTCTGTGGTTTCAATAAAGTACATCTAGAAAAATCTACGGTGACAGGGCGCTCCCGCGGGAGGGTAGTGGAGTTGTGGTGGGGGGAGTTCAAGGGAGGGGAGCCTGGCTTTAAATGCAAGGGGCACTGCTTCCGAGCACAGGCAGTACGCGAGGGTGAGCGGGGTGTGAGGTAGAGCGGCCTCCAGCCAGGTGGTGCCAAGGCTGCCATACTGCAAAGTGGGGGCCCAGGATTTGGGGCAAGAGCTTCGAAGAAGAGCGTCGGCGGCGGGCCGGGGCGGAGGCGCCTCCCTCCCCAGCTGCCCCGGGCGCCGCGCAGCGCAACCGCGCCTCGCAGCTCCGCGCTGGGATTGGAGTTGCGGAAGGTAGACGAAGAACTCTGCGAGCCGCGCGCACGCCAGTAGAAGCTGTGCGCCTGTGACGTCAGGGGGCAACTGGCCAATGGGGAGGCGCTGCCCTTTGGAGACAAACCATTCGACTCGTGGCGTCTACATCAAGTCTGAAAGCAGACGCTCAACTTTCGCAGAATCCACCTTAAAATCTCTGCCTTAAACTGCACCAGCCCCCAAAAAATCCAAGGGGGGAAAGCAAGGGGGGGAGAGCAGATTCCCCCTCCCCCTCTCCTCGCCCTCCCCCTTCTTCCTCCCTTTGGGTTAACAAGGCCCCGCTCACTATATCTCTTTATATTAAATATATATATAATATATATTAGAGAAGAGCGAGGGAGAGGGAGAACCACTTCCACCCCCCTCTTTTTATTTTTATTTTTTATTTTTTTGCAAGGATCCCAAGAGCTAAGGTGGCTGCAGAGGGGAGAGCCGCGCGAGCCAAGTGGGGGAGGGTGGAGGAAACCCGGGAGAAGGCTCTCTCCAGCCCCCAAAGTTTTGATGATGACCATGACTACGATGGCTGACGGCTTGGAAGGCCAGGACTCGTCCAAATCCGCTTTCATGGAGTTCGGGCAGCAGCAGCAGCCGCCGCAGCAGCAGCCCGCGCCGCCGCCGCCGCACTCGCAGCAGCCCGCGCCGCCGCCCGCGCAGCAGAGCTCCCCGGCCATGGCGGGCGCGCACTACCCGCTGCACTGCCTGCACTCGGCAGCCGCCGGCTCCCACCACCACCACCATCACCACCACCAGCACCACGGCTCGCCCTACGCGGCGGGCGCGGGCAACTCCTACAACCACCGCTCGCTCGCCGCCTACCCCTACATGAGCCACTCGCAGCACAGCCCTTACCTCCAGTCCTACCACAACAGCAGCGCGGCCGCCCAGACGCGCGGGGACGACACAGGTGAGAGGCCGCTAGGGCAGCTCGCTTCTCCCGCCTCCCCGCTGCCCCCCACCCCGCCCGCGCGCCCCGCTCACTTCCTCCGCGCCCCGGCCCCCTCCCCCAGGCGGCCCGGCGCGCCCCCAGCCGGGCCCCGTGCGCGCCCGCTCGCCTGGCGCCTGCCTGCCGGCCTCTCCCGGCCGGGCCCCTTCCCGCCGCCACTGCCGCCGCCGCGGACCCCCGGCTTCTGCGCCCGCGGCCCGTCCGGCTCCCCCGCTCCCCGGTCGCGCGCCTTTCAGGCTGCGCCCCAGACTCCGCGCAGACAGCGTCCTACGGCCCGTTCTCACTGCGCCCGGTGGACCGCGGAGTCTGTGCGCCCCTCGCCTGGCTCCTTCCCTCCGGAATGTGAGCCACGTTAGCCAGGAGTGTGTAGGGGACATTACAGGGCCAAAACTGGGGAGTGTGTTTGACTTCCCAGTCTACGCTGGGCAGGTACTGGCCTACTTTGCGTAGGACGGGCGGTGCGCCTTGGTGACTTGGAGGAAAGCTGCGTGGCCTGTGGCTCTGTTATGCTAGTGACACTTTTGCCATTTCCTGTGGACTCTGAGGCTTACTCACCCCAACCTGGGCCCCGGCCCTCTGCCCCAGCCCCTTCCTTCGGGGTTTGTGATACAGTGTTGGCTGCTCCTTTGTTCGGGGAGACAGAGCAGAGGGCCTCGGGCTGATGGCCTTCAGCACCCGGGGGGCTAAGTTGTCGTGAGAGCAGCAGCCTGCTCCGGTGCTGGCCTAAGCGCCTTGTGGTGTGTGGTTTGGGGGTTTGGTCCGTCTCTGCAGAAACATTTTGAACACGCCGAAGAGGCTTGATGCACTGGGCTTGGAGTTGATGACATCAAGTCAACTGGCAGCGTAAACACCCAGGTGGCTCAAGCACAGCTTCAGGGACCCTAAGGCCACGCAGCCAACTCCACTCAGCCAGAGACTGACGCCGCGCCGCGCCGCGCTGCGCCGCACCGCGCCGCGCACCCCAGAAAGCCACAGGCGCCGCGACCATAGCGGCCAAGTGGACCGAGTGTCCCGGTGCGCCCTCAGTCTAGACAGAGGGCATTGTTAGGCTCAGAGATAGGGAGAGGCTTAGTCAGGCGTTGCAAACACATGGGCACGGTGTACCCGGAGAGGTCTGGACGGTGAAGGGAAACTTCCAGGAAACCCTTCATAGATCCGATCGAGGCCCAGATGGCAGCAGCCTCACGGGTGACCATTCCTCTGTGTGTGTGTGGGTCTTTTGTTTTGTTTTTGTTTACAGATCAACAAAAAACTACAGTGATTGAAAATGGGGAAATCAGGTTCAATGGAAAAGGGAAAAAAATTCGGAAGCCTCGGACCATTTATTCCAGCCTGCAGCTCCAGGCTTTAAACCATCGTTTTCAGCAGACTCAGTATCTGGCCCTTCCCGAGAGAGCTGAACTGGCAGCTTCCTTAGGACTGACACAAACACAGGTAATTCCCGAGAAGCCGAAAATTCCTGAAATGCTGGCCCACCTTGCAGTTCCGGCAGGAATTCTTGGCCTAGTCAACCAAGGATGAAGGAGCTTAATGACAAATGCCTTTGCTCCACTTGCACATTTTCTTGGGATCACAGTGTGGACTAAATAACCTGGTACTGAATACTGGATTGGATTTATACATCTGCTCAACCCTCGGTGACCCTGCCCCAGCCTAGTTTCTATTGGCGACATAACTCATAATTCATTCAAATCCTACTCCAGAGCATAACAACAGGAAAGAGAACAATTATGTAGAAGACAAAGAAGATGTTGAAAAATAATAATATAGGCTAGTAGGCAGAAAAGGCCCACCTTTCTTAAGGATATTTTTGTGGCCTTAGGAACTAATAAAATTTCAACTTATTGACAGAGAAAGAAAAACTATAAAGTAAAATGGAGGGGTTGTACTAGAGTAGGCATAGGCTCCAAAGAGGACAGTAAAGCACCAATGTGTGAATAGTTTGTCCGAGGATTTCCTAAAGATTGCTCTAACCTCAGTGGTTAAATCATCTGGGGATAAAATGATGCAGAATAAGGTGCTTCTCTGAAGCACAGGGCTTAGAGCAAGGCAGAGCTGAAGATTTAAAAAAAAAAAATCACTCTTCAAATTCTAGCGGGTGAAGCCACAATGACATACATTTGCTTAAATTCTTCAAACCTACTAATATGAAAGATGGTTCACAGGGAGGGGCTCAAGGGAGTATATTAGGACCCTGCTCATAAAATCAGGCTAGAGTCAACTGTAATTTTTGTCCTTGTTGATTTAGTTGCATGGGGTAATAGGCCTCATCTGAGGTAGCTGATCTTCCTTCAGCAAAGGACCTTTAGGTTTTATGAGATGATTGCTAAAGGACTGATATAGTGGTACCTTAAAGTACATGCTTGTAAGCTCTTCTTTTCAGTTTAGCTTGTGTTTTCTTGCCTTATTGCCACTGAAAATATTGGCACTTTGACATGAGGTAATACCAGCTTCTTAGTGATGGTATTATTCTTGCAAAAGCAGATTCCAGGGATTTAAAAAGTAAAGAAAAGTGTACCATAGAATTGTCTTCTTCAAATAAAGTAGATTTGGGATGTTGGCCTACATATGCTTCTATCCAGGATTCCTGATTCATGTTTAGTTTTCAGGAGCCTTTTTTACTTTTAGTGACTACACTCACAATCATGTGATGATTGTTGACTCCAGTTTGACTAAGCAATGTACAAAGCAGAGAATGGGGGAGGTACAATCCTCAATGCCTGCAGGACTGTGGAGTTGTATTCATGGAGAAAGATGCTCCACGCAGCATCTATGACAATGGGCACCAAATACCTAAGTCTGTTCGAGGCACATCTGATTATAAATAGAAAGACTTTAATCTATTCATAGTCATTTGCTCACTGTACATGCATACAGATGCCAGCTTTTGTGACTGGTAAATATAAAAACATACTGTCAAAAGAAGTATACTCAATTGTATGGCTTCAATATGAAAAGTGCTCATTTCAAAAGTCCTTTGCCACATTTGAACTTGTTTCTCTCCTTCACTTGCTTATGTTATTCCTCACCTATGTTTATGTTTTAAACAGGATAGTATCTAATTTAAGAATCATGAGGACTTTAGATATCTAGACATAATATCTAGTAGGCTGGGAGTGGAGGATGGAGGTGCCTAGAAAGAGGAAGAGAAAGGTATGACTTGGTTTCTTGGTGCTGTGGTATGTAGGTCCCTGCCCCCATATTGCTTCTTAAACCTGTAGGGACACTAGAGCATTAACAGGCCTAATGAATGCTGCATTTCTTCCAGGTGAAGATATGGTTTCAGAACAAGCGATCTAAGTTTAAGAAGCTGCTGAAGCAGGGCAGTAACCCACATGAGAGTGACCCCCTCCCAGGCTCTGCAGCCCTGTCACCACGCTCGCCAGCGCTGCCTCCAGTGTGGGACGTTTCTGCCTCTGCCAAGGGCGTCAGTATGCCCCCAAACAGCTACATGCCTGGCTATTCGCACTGGTACTCCTCTCCACACCAAGACACAATGCAGAGACCCCAGATGATGTGAGTTATCAGAGGGAACACTAGGGGAGCGCCTAAACAAGACAAGGAGGACCCTAGACCTGCTTGTGTTTGCCAAACCGAGCCAAAGGAGCAGGCTCAAGAGAACTTGTATGTGTGGCCAGAAGCTGGCTGGGATCTCTCAGCTCTCTCCCTGTCTCTCTCCATCTCTCTCTGTCTCGGTCTCTCCCCCCACCCCCTTTCCTGTTTTACCCCCCTCTCCTCCTCTTCACAATTTTCCGTATGTTTCGTTCATTCTTTCTCTTTTCCCCTTTACTTTCCTGTCCTTTCCTCAACTGCCTTCCTTGAGCAACCTTAGTAATTTATCTTGCATTTCAGAAAGAGAGAGAGAGAGAGAGAGAGAGAGAGAGAGAGAGAGAGAGAGAGAAGAAGAGAGAGGAGAGACTAGTTTTTATGTCAGCGCTCTGAAAACCCCTCATTGCAAGGATATTTTCCCTTACCCCTTGAGATTCAGGCTCTGAGCCTCCTCTTCTATTTGGGAGTATCCATCAAAATGACTTTTTTACAGACATTTCTCCCCACCAGAAGAATCTGCACAAACATGGCAGCATTTTTACTTGTTTAATGAGCTTAAGACATTTCATGATGAAAAAGAAGCATTTTGGATTCCTGCATTTTTATTTACTAATCTCAGACTGATAAAAAAGAAAAAGAAAAATCCCTCACATAACAACCCTTCTCTAAAGAAAAAGGAAAAATTGGCTGTAAAATTAGAATTTCCACAAGAGGAATGCTGCATGTTTTATCAAAATGCAATGACCAGAAATGATGATTCATTTAAAATACAAACAACAACAAGAAAAAGGCTCTTTCCCTACCCCACCCCCAAACCTTGAACTGCAATCAGGAAAGACAGAGGAAACAATCAAAATCACCATTCTGTTGCTCTGACACCTTTACTAGGTGAATTGGTGGCATTCACTAAGCTAATAGGGACGTTTGTATCAAGAAACATTTCTGTATATATTGTTGAATTTTAGTTGTATATATACTTTGTATGTTTTTGTCTTCTTTCATATATGGAGTAAAAGCCACAAAATGCTGGGAGTGTCTTGTATATTTCTCTGTGTGTTTCTGTCTGTCTCCTCCTCCGTTTTTCCCCTCTCCCATCATATTTTCTATCACTCTTAAAAGAATTTCTATTTTCTAAAATGGGAAGTCCTATATATAAACATCAAATGCCTGAAAAGATGTCACTTTGCACTTGTAGCCTTTGTCTTAAGTATTTCACCATTAACCATGGGTATTTTCTCAGTTTTCTTTTACATGTTAATTTTTACTATAATTTCTACACATTTATCTATTTTTTTAAACACTAGAGTAAAGCTATCTCCAGGTTTGCCTCTAGATAGCCAGTAGTTCCTAGTACTGAAACTAAGTGCTCCCCTTTCTCTTTTCCTAGCCAGAATGATACAGCTATATGATTCTTTGTTTGGAGGCAATTTCTAATGAAAAAAAAAAAAAGAGAGAAAAGAATAAAGAACAAGCAAAAAGTAAAGTGCAATTATGCCTATTTAATGTTTAAAACCCATTGCAAGCTAACTAGGTAGGAAAAATGTATGATCCTGGATGAAATACATCCTTCCGATCTTATAGAAAGCAAAGAAATAATGAAAATGAAAAGTCCTTTCGTCATACAAGCAGGAAGCCCCATACTGTGAGAATTAATGGCTACAGACCTGGGCATCCTTCAAATTATGAACCTTGAAACCACTGAGCCATTTATCAGAAGTCAATAGAGATACTCAGAGTGCTCCATATAATGACAGCGACATACAGTCGTGCAAAAGGACAGTCACTATAATTAGACACAAAGCAAAGACTACTTACCAATATACCCGTTCCTTTTTTTGTTGAGCAACTTCCACGCTCAGTCAGTCTTCAGAATGGTTTAAAACCGATCAGTCTTGTCATTTTCTAGCATTCGCATTGTTACATTAGGAAAAATGTTTTCTTTTCTTTTTTCCCCCTTCCTACTGTGAAACTTTGGGTTCGTAGCTCCCCAGGATCAATTCTGAACAAAGCCTCCAGCTGCAGTGCCATCCAATTTGAAGCAGACATTGGGGACAATTTAAGGTTTTTATCCACAAGAAGGTTTTTTTCCATTCTCTTAAATGCAGCCATAATTAGAGTAATTTTTCATGTAGCCCGCTGATTACAGCGTTTTTACCGTCAAAGATAATTACCTGTAATTTTCTTCCACTTTTAATACTAAAAAGCCATCTTTATTTAGATTCAGGAACAGGAAAGGCGAAACAAAAGAGGGAAATTATTCTGTTATTCATACACAAATTGCAGAGACGTAGGACCTAAAATTGAAAATTAACCAAAATTATAATGCTGAAAAGAATGGAAGAGGCTGTAGAAGTACAGCTGGTAGTGGTGCTTTGCTGAATTATTCAAATTACGTTAGAGGGAAAGCTACCATACATCGAGACCAACACTAATTTTTCGCTAAAAAAAAAAGTCACCAGATACATGCCAAACCACTGTGAGTGCATGGAACTCTGAAAACCAGCAAAGGTATGTTAACATAGTGGAGGTGTTACTATGATGTATCTGTATCGAGATCTTTATCTCTAAGCAGGAGATTAATTAAATTCTGCCAAGGAGTCCCCCTAAAACTGTCCTTGGAAGTGGGCTTCCTCTGGTTCCTCTGAGCTTCAAGGGTTAATATTTTCTCTCTGTAGAATGTATTGACCCCCTAGTAAACTGACTCCCCGAAGGAGGGATTGGTAGGAGGGGCGTGGGCTAAAGGCGTCGCCCAGTTATGCTGCCTACAACGCCTCCCTATGTTCCAACTTCCCTGGAGGTTATAGAGTTCGACTTCCAAAGCCGAATTCTGACCATATTTCCCATTTTGAAAAAGAGAAAAATAGCTGCAGGTGGGGGGGGGTGGGTAAAGGTAAAGGAGACAATTCTCCTCGGTGCCAATAAGCATCTCATTATCTGTGACACAATTTAGTCAAAAGGTTTCTGCCTGGCGTAGGAGAAAGGTTCTTTTTGTACTGGGGTGGTAACCAAAGATTTCTCAGGTTCCTAGACTCCACATTTTTAGCTGCTTCTAATGTCTACGTGGTCAGGAAACAGCGTCATCTATAGATAGAACAACAGGGGTCTTCCTTGGTGCATTCCTAAACCAGACAGCTTCCTTGGCTCTATAGCTAGATTTTGCGTTTTAGCCAATCGTGCCCCTTCAACCTCAAGGCCTCAATTTTAGCACTCTGCGGGCTGGTGATAAACTCCAAGACCTTCATTCCCCCCCCTTCACACTCCCCTGCACACATACACAGACAGACAGACACACACACACACACACACACACACACACACACCTTGAGATGGAGGCCCTGAAAACAGCTTGGAAGGATTTCAGAGGCCATCCACCCCAAAACTCTTCTACCTGGAGGAAGGGTGATCAGAGACTATAAAGTCAGATTCGGGCTGCACCTGCCTTTGCAAAAGTCTGCATAGCTGTGATTCTGGAGGAGCTCTGCTGGGGCTCCCGGTTTCTTCTCTTGACTCCTAAAAATCTAGAATCATGGCCACATGTAAAGATCTCAGTGGATTCACCTAGGATTAGCTGTGAATATCATTCTCAAATAGATTTCAGATTGGAGGTTCCTTCACACCTTTCAGAAAAACCCAGCCTTTTACAGTCTCCAGTCACCAACTGCATCAACCACATCAACAGCACAGAAAGCAAGAAAGATAAATCTTAAGGTTCTTAAGGATCCCAGTCTCACAGGAGCCTTGTTACTCACCAGAATAGCAACTCTTTTACTGTTAAAGAGGGATAAAAGGGCAGAATTGAAAAATCTATAAAGCAAAGTTGTAGTCCGCAATAAATTATAACAATAGCACAAAGAGGTTGGAAAGCATGAGGGAGAAATATGAACTATGCCTTGAAGTAGCAAGAAACAAAAACTTACCCCCAGTGAATACTTCTTGAGTAATGATCAGAGTCTAGAAATCTATTCTGCACCGAAGCAGAGGAGAATATTTTTCTGAGTCTCAGGACAGAAGCTCTTTCTCTATATTCTTGGTTGAGTGAGCACATCCAGGTGTGAAATTGTTTGCACACCCCAGCACCTCTTATATTGCCAGCAAAATTAGCTGTTATTACTGTCACTGTTTAGTGATGGTTAGCGTGATACAAAAAAAAAAAAAAAACTGCTGTAATCAAGACCTGGCGCATCTTTGCAAATTACAGATAATTGTAAACGTCCAGATTATGATAATAGCATCCTAATCCAGCCTGCAATATAATTATTACAGAGTGTTACATCTGAAACTGTCCAGTAGGGCTAATTCAGCCATTATTTAGACCCTATTTTTGCACTGCAAATGGGTTGCTGAGTTGAAAATGTACGATTGTAATTTCACGGGGCACTCAATGAGTAATGGTATAGGAAGAGGAAAATACAAAAGTGAAATGTGAACAGTAGCGATCAAATCAAACCCTGAAGGACAAAAGATTGTTTGATTCATATGGAAAAAGAAGAGCGGGAATTAAGAAAATAGCAAATCAGTAGTCTGAAGCATTACGTGTCCAAATCCTCAATAGTGCAGGGCTGATGTGTTTTCAAGGGCTGCTGTGTCTGCTGCTGCTGCCTGGAGTCTGAAATAATTTTTCTTTTTTCTTTCTTTCTTTTTAAAAATCTCTGGTTTTTCTCTTCTCTCGCAAAGCATTTTCCTACTTTAAAAAGTGCTCCTCCCCAAAGCAAAGAATATTTGTCAGCTTTATTATTGTTTCCATAACAGCTGCCTTACGGTGTGCCTGTCACTTGTTTATGAACATTTTCTTAAGTGAATTTGTAATCTCTTGTCATCAGAGCAGAACACCCTGGGTGCTCCCAAGTGTTCCTGCTCCATCTCCATCTTCTCCACCCTCTTTCACAGTTAAAAAGTCAGGGAGAGTCTTGGGGGATATTAGTGGACAATGTATTGATTGCTGCTAATTAAATATAGCTGGATGGGAAGCTGTCTTCTCCAGTAGACTTGGCTGGCTATTGGTTTTAATCCCATTATTAACTTTTATTTATTGAAAGTCATAAATCATACAACATATAAACCCCCATGTAAGTCAGCCCGGCTGCTTCTTTTGCTACATGTTACCATACACCTCAAAGAGGGAGGCTGATGTACTTAAAATATAAGAGGACCAAAGAGAAAGAGTGGGGGGGGGCTAGTAAGGGGTTGAAAGGTAGTATGATTGGGTCCAAGCTCTCTGGGGATTCCAGCTATTACTTCTGGGAGAATAAGCCCTGTTCTGGTGCAGACTTCCTCAGACTAATCTGTTTCCTGGTGGGGACCTCCTAGTCAAAGATACCTAATGCCCTTGTATCCCCAGGAGTTCAGATTTTCCCACCGTGAACACAGAGAATGTTCTGAGCATCTTTTCCAGCCTCTTGCTAGTATGTGTTGATTTTCCCTCTTCTCATCTCCTCCCTGTCCCGGAGTTGCCCAGCCAGGGCCACCCTGCAGGGTGGCAAGCAGGCTCCCTAGCTTCTGTGAATTTAAGGCCAATCATGAAATGTCCCCTGTTTAGTGACCCCTGTTTATAGATGAAAGTTGAGTCCATATCTAGTCTCTTCCCCCCCCCTCTCTTCCCCACCTTGCAAATGGCAAGTGGCAGAAATAGTCCTTGGGTGACAATAAGCTCTCAGTGGCAGTTTCTGTCTTCACACATTTCAAGGGGAAAAAAAAAAGCTTTAAAATAAATCATAGCCTAGGAAATGTTTACTGCCCTTCACCCCCACCCACTTCTTTAAAAAAAAAAAAAAGATTATGTATGGTGGAGATTCCACAGAGAATTGTTACTGAAACCAGGAGGCTGTGTGAGTGTGTGTGTGTGTGTGTGTGTGCCAGCCTGTGGGTAGAATGATGTTATGAAGTCATTTTTTTTCTTCCTGTGGTGAAAGGTCGTAATGTGTGGTATTTCACGGTTTTATATAAATCTTGGTTTAGGATGTGGAACAGACTCAATAATACATGTGCTTTTGGCAAACAGACTCTGTCAGGTCCCCATAAATCAGAAGTAAATAAGAAGTTCAAGGGAACAAAAGAGCAGAAACATTTAATTGCTGCAAAACAGGACTCTCATCTCCTTTCAAGAGAGACTTATGTAAATGCCCTCGGTTCCTAGCTTCACGGTTAGAGCCCGACCCATAAAACAGCTTATTACATTACAGCCAGCAGCCCGGATGATTGAAAGGGACGTTTCCCCATCTCCTCACCCCCTCCCGCCCCCGCGGTAGATACAATGTGTATTTTCTGCCCCGCTCCACTTCGAAATCTAAAGCCTGTCAAAAGGAAAAGAAAGCTTCAGGATTGGGGAAAGAGACAAGGCTGCGAAAAAAAATTTTAACCAATCCCATATGTGCCACCGCTATTTGGACTGTTTTTGAGGTCCAAAATTTGGTGTGACTGGGCCGGGTTTGAAAGAACCAAGTTCCCTGTGTAAGGTCCTCGAGCAAACTGAGACCTCCAGACCAGGGCGAGAGCAAGTGGTAGCGCCCCTGTTTCTACGCCTCGGAAAGGAGGGAGCTCCCCATCCAGTGTCCTTTGGAAGGGGTGCGTCAGAGTGGGTCCCCTGGTGTGGGGCCCTTTCTTGAGGTGCTAAGGGCTTCTGCCTTGGGGTGCTCCCCCCTTAAGGGTTGGAGAGCTCCAGGGTGGCCAGATCCCAGTGGCCAGTGGGAGGCGCAAGATCCCAGGGGTTGAGAGGATGGGGCGGGAAGGGGCGGCTGGGTGGTCCTAAAGGTCTTTCCCAATACAAGGGAGCGCTGGGGACAGTGGGAGTGCCAGGTCAGGGATGCAGCGGGCTTGCAGTGCGCGTCGAGCTGGGGACCTCCGGAGACTGAGCGCTGTAGAGCGCGCGCTGGCTGGAGGCAGGAGCTGACTGCCTGGCCACGGCGCGCAGGGGTGACTCCCAGGACGACGCAGTCCGGACACCGCGAGCAGTGAGGCGTCCTGGGGATCAAAGGAGCCAAAGGAGGCCAGCCGGCGCGTCTGGGATTGTGGGATAAGAGGCGGGAGAGAGACTGGCAGGGGCGGGGAGATGTTGGCCCGTCCCTTGTCACTTGGGAGGGTGTACGTGTGCATCTTTGTATGGGTCAATACGCTCCTGCCCGAGGCCGAGCCCTGGGTGGATCAGAGTGTGGGTGGACAGGCTCCCTGGTGGGTGCCCCTACGGGAGGGAGGGAAAGCGGGCAAGAGAGCTAGATCAAGGGCAGCGAGGTCTGCGGGTTCCTCTGTGTGTGTGTCTCAGGCCCTGTGGCTCAGCACTGGAGCCGCCTGGCACCCACAGGAATGCGGCTTCTCTCGGATCCCCAGGCTGCCTCTTGTCCCACAAGGAGGTGGCCGCCAGGAAAAAGAGGGAGAAAAGGGCAGAAGTCCGCCTAGCCCAACCCGAGCCTCAAACAAAGGCCAATTTATCTGATCTCTTACAGGAGGGCCTATGAGGCTGGCAGGGCACCGAGGGATCTCAAAGCCTTCTCTGCGTGCCCTGAGTCCCCCTGGGCTTTGTCAGGAGGTCGGAAGATGGGAGGTGGGGGTTGGAAGTATTTGGGGTGTGAGAGAAGAGCCCACTGGAAAAAAAAAAACCCCAAAAAACTAATCTTGGAATGGGCTTAATGCATCTTCAAAGCATGACAGTGCTTCCAAGCACAAGAATGAGAGAGCTAGACAAGTGGGGATAGGAAGGGATAGGCAGAGGGGATTCCCAGTTCGAAAGCCAGAAGTGTTGGGTCAGCCAATCTGGAAATATTCTGAGTAGCAGTACAGGTAACTGTTAGACATAGGAAGAAATAATGGAGGACAAGAAGGAGGCAGGGTGGGAGGAGGGAAAAAGGAAGGGACAGAGAGAGAGAGAGAGAGAGAGAGAGAGAGAGAGAGAGAGAGAGACTGATATTTTTAGAATTTGCTGAGGGTCTGTTATTTTTACATCCTTGGGCCAGGGCTGCAGGGAGTTAAATTCCCTGTGGAGAATCCCTGTGGTGCCAGGAAAGCCCACTACAGATTGGTTTGCCAGAATATTTTTGTTCAGACCTCCAGGATCAGATAAATTTTTTTTTTTTTAAAAAACCCTGTGAGAGAAGAGGACACTGCAAGAGGAAAGAGTGAGGTTATCACAAGGGAAGCAATCCTGAAACAGTCTGCGTTCACAAGGTATTGGGCTTGGTTGTCCTGCAGCCAGGCTTTGGAGTGCTTAACAACAAGGGGTGTCTAAGTTAGGTGTGGAGGGTGGTCATGAAAAAGCTTCCTTCTTATTTCTGGAGAGAAGCGTGAATCCTTCTCCTTCCTCCTTCAGCACAGTCTGCTTAACTGGAGGGGGTGAAGGATCCCACTTTCCCACCAGCAATGGGCCTAGGAAGATAATGGGGACAGCTGGGAAAATAAATGCTCTCTTTATGTGCAGAAAGGGAAAGAGTGTCTTCCAGGCCCAGTCTTGAAACTCTCAGGCAGCCCATGGGTGTGGGTGGGAAATATTGGAGGTGCACAGTGAGTTTGTCCCCACCAATTTTCCCAAACACACAGGCATCCTAGGGTAGGGAGAAATGCCCCTCAGTGCATGCAGAAAGCCAGGCACTTCCAAACCTCAGACTCTGGATTTCCCCCAGCCCAAATCACTAGAAATAAAGCCCTGGCTTTGGGTGTAATGGAGACTACTGAAATCATAGCAAGCAAAGAAAGAAAAGCAGGAAGCTGATACTCTCACACCCTCCACCCTAGTCTCAGTCAGTGCAGAAAACACAATGAGGTGCCACCCTCACCTTGTCACCCCAGCCCAGGTGCCTAGCCTTTGGATGCATCTTCCAAGAAATGACCACTGCAGCTGAATTTGGAGAGTGGGAAACTGGAAGATGCAACTGACAGGACCTTGGGAGTGGTGAAAAAGGAGTGGTCCACATTGGGCCTGCAGTGGTGTGCTGCCCTGGGGCCTGTCAGAGCATGCTCTTCAAGGCCCAAGTCATTCCAAACTGGTAGTCTTCTTGTCCTTTCTGCAGAGAAAGGAAAAAGGAAGAGAAGGGAGAAATAGAGGAGATGGAAGGCTGTGGGGAGAGAAGAACCAAAGAGAGAATGAGAGAGAACACAGGTAAATCTCCCTATGGGCACACAGCTCCCACCTATTTTCAGGTCTAGTGTCTTAACCCTGGAAAAGCTTTCTCAGAAATCCTCAGATCACAGGATGTAATTTTTATGTTCTGACCCCCCCCCCACCCTTAAGAAGTTTCTTGTCACATTTACTGCTGCCGATTTCCTAGCTGTAAAATATTTCACATGCATATTGTAATTTCCAACACACAGTTCCCTTGATATCCTAAGGAAATACAGTCAGGTGACTAAAGGGCAGCCAGAAAGACGCCTACAATTCAGGCCCGAGGGCAAAGCTCTCGACACAGGCTGTAGCTCTGGCCACATGGTGGCTATCTACAAGCAGGGTGTGAGGGGAAAGATAAGATATAGGCCATGGTATCATCAAATTCTTCATGTCTGCCCCAAACAAGAAATACCAACAAAAAGATTCAATTCCCCCAGTCTTACAACCTGCCTTACCACTGTTTATTACATAAAGTCAAAAGCACAGGGAGCTCCTTTTGAGGAGGAGGACTACAATATGATAAAGAGAACGAAGGCCAAAGATACTAAGAGCATTACCTAACACGAAGTGAAATCAATACAAGGCTACAGTAGGTCCATACCTCTCCCTTATCCAGAAGTGCCTTTCTCAGAAGATCAAGATGTGCCTCCCCCCACTGATGAAGATCTTTGTTTTCAATCCCTGTAGTGTCTTCCTTTTTCTGAAAGTGCTCCAACACATTTACAATCACACGCAAAAGGAGTTTGAGGCTTTACCATTTGCTACACCCCAAACATTTCAGAGTTTTAAAAAATGTGATAGGGTGGGAATAAGAGATTTCTGTTTCTTTTTTCTTTTTCATTTCAAACCTCTGGAAGCTCCCTTTGAAGGGAGTGTAATTTGTCTAATTGCTCTGGCAATACACAGAAGCCGATGGGGGGGGGCAGTCCACCAGGATAATTGCTTTGAGCTTAGAATTCAGAGTTTATTGAAGGATTTCTGTTACCTTCTTACTCACATGTAGTTTGGGAGAGATGTATTTAGATTCCAGTATTACTTTCTACCTAAAACAATTTGGGGTTGAACTTAACATCTACATGAGTTCTGTGGTTAGACCAGAAAAGCACCTAAATATATATTACACAACAGTACTATAAACAGGCCACATACACAATGTAGACAAAACCTTGAGCATCCAACATACAGAGCCATATAGCCCCCAACATTTTTTTTAGTCGATCTCTACAGAGCTTTTCTTTCTTTAACCACCTGCGTAAAACTTCACTAGCCAGTTGCCTCGGGGCAAAAAGTATTCAGAAACATTCTGCTTTCGTGGTCGAAATAATTTTATTTATCCAGAATATACAGTTTAATTCCTCTATCTACATTTATTTACATGCCTAAAATAACATTGAAAAAAAGTCTTTCGAAAAGTTGAGGTCATAGAGTTCAAGGCACCTTTGATAGTGTCCACAGTTGCGCAAAAAGTTCATTTGTAAAAAAAGGGGAGGACGGTCTTTTGAAATGCAATAACTTACATGCAAAAAAAGAGCTTTACACATGAATCATTTTGTTTCCATTTTTAAACTTCCCCATATGAACTCCTTTCTTTCATGATTTTCTAAAACAGCAAAACACAGTAGTCCCAAAAAGGAAAGCAAGAGAGAGCAGGCCATCTAATAGAGCGTCCCCGAGGCCAGCGCCAGCGGGTGCTGTAAGGAGCCGGGCGGCGGCAGGTGGGAATTGATAGAGGTGGCTGCGCTTGGGTACCAGGAAGCAGAGTTCTCCAGGTAGCTGGACACGGGGGACTGGTTGGAGGTCGGAGGGTGGGCGTGAGGGTGGTGGCTGAGAGAGCGGGATGAGCCCTGGGGCTCCCACACCGCTGGAGACTGCGGGGAGTTACACGCCATAGGATCGCTGGAGCTGGGACTGTGCTCCGGGGGCATCTCCCCGTTTTTCATGATCTTCTTGATCTTGGATCTTTTGTTCTGAAACCAAATTTTTACCTGGGTGGGGGGAACAAAGGCACACGTTACCGGGACACTCAGGTCGCCCGCGCCTTCCTCAGACCGAGCCTGGAGACACCTTCGAACTCCTAGATGGCCCAGCCCTGGCATCCTTAGCCGGGGTCTTAAGCGAAGCCTGGAGGGCTCCCCCGCCGCCGGGGTGGCACTGGATGCCGCAAGGGTGCAACCCCAGGCTTCGGTTTTTGTTTGTCTGGGGTGGTGGGTGGTGGGGAGTGGGAGCGACCCGGTCAGTGGCTGCAGGAGCGCATTTGCTGGCCTTTCTGCCCGGCATGGAACACTGTGCAGCCGAGCGGCTGCGAACCGCGGCGGGGCCCGGCGGAGAAAGGGCGTGAGCTCCGCCCGAAGCGTCGGTGCGGGGGAAAGGAGCGATTTCCTTATCGCCCGCGAGACTCCCTGCGCGCTGCGCCTCGAGGCCAGGATCCCCCTGCAGCTCTGGGCGGCGACTTGAACATTCTTTTGTGCTTATCTAGGCCCCGGTCAGTGGGACTACGAGACAACGGAAGGGGACCATCCGGGGAGGCTTCCCCACACAACAGCGCCCCCCACCTGGCGACCTTCCGGGCGCGGCCGCCGCCCGAGGCTGCGGAGGAGCGGGGGCGACCTCTTGGGTCTCCGGCCTCTGCCCACCGCCGGCCCTCGGTCCCCGCTCACCCTGGGAAAGGCTTCGAGCAGTGAAGAGAAGCAGACACTCTGCTAAGATTGCAAGACCGTCTAGAACAGACCCACCCGACGTTTGCAGCCTAGGACACTGGCCCCCGCCCCCGGAGGCGCGAGGCAGGGGCCACGTCGGGACGCGTCACACAGCCGTCCCCACCGCCGCGCTGGCCCCGTCCGCCTGCTCCGGCGGAAAGGGCGCAGAGGCTGGTGGCTCTCAAGGGTACTATCGCGTCAGCTGCAGCCGGTCGGGACCGAACCGCGCAGCGCTGCCAGGCTCGCAGGCTCGGCAGGCCCGGTGCCCGGCGGCGACAGGATTTACCTGTGTCTGCGTCAGTCCCAGAGAGGCCGCCAGCTCGGCGCGTTCTGGCAGGGCGAGGTACTGAGTCTTCTGAAACCTTCTCTGTAATGCGGCCAGCTGAAAGCTGGAATAAATAGTCCTGGGTTTACGAACTTTCTTTGGTTTGCCATTCACCATCCTCACCTCGGGCTCGGTCACTTCTTTTTCTAAACAATCGAAACAGACTAGGTTAGAGCTAGTGGACAGACAATGCCTCTTATGCAGAAGGGCCTGAGATACAGTCCTGAAGCTTCTGTTTCTGGCTGTGTGTGAGTGTGTTCTTTTTAACCACCCGTCTTTAATTCATTTTCCTCATACCGTCACTTTTGCTTTTCAGAACCTAGAGAAATACGTCCCTCCCAAATCATGGAAGAACCAAGAGGTCTCTAATCAATTGCTACTCTATTCATTCAGGTGGGGTTTTAGCAAAGCACTCCATGCAGCATAATTTCTGGGCCTGCGGGATTCACCTACTTGTACCTGACTTGATCTTAAGTCCACCTTGTGTTCCCCCTTGTTTCTGGTGCGAGAACGGCCAATTCCTCCTGGGCCGTGACCCTGCTTCTGTGGGCGTCTGCTTGGGCGCCCGCAGAGGCCAGACGCATGGGCAGGGAAGACGCTAAACGAGGTCTCCAAAGTTCAAAGACCCACAAGCAAACTATGCTCCTTCACTACAGCAGCAAGCGGTCGAGGCTGCCTCAGACAGAGGGCCGATTATGCAGCCCCCATAATCTCACTGCAGATCTGCGAAGGCACAGATGTGTCTGGTTTCTTTTACAAATAGACTTAGTATGTTAGCCAAAAAAAAAAAAAAAAAAAAAAAAACTTCTACTTATGCATGAAATACAGAGACAGTGAAAGGAATGGGATTCTCTTTTAAAATTTAGCAAGAAGATTTTTTTTTTTAAAAAAAAAAGTTGATATGACGTTTTTGTAGCAAAAGGGAGGCAGATCCGGGTGAATTTATTACTGTCATGAATGTAGAAGGTGGGTTTGGGGGAGATTTTCCCAACGTGTGTTTTATAAACATGGCCCGCGGCGGAGAGCCTCTCTATGGTGTGTGTGTCTGTGTGTGTCCTGAGGGAGGAAGAGTGGAGGGTGAGGCTGTGGTCTCCATTCTGCCAAAGTAGAGGATGCTAATATTAGCAGGATTATTAATGTGCTGGTGGAGAGAGATCAAACTTGACCAGTAAAACCTCTTCGCGGAGACCTCATGCCTTTCTTACTACCCAAGTGCCCTAACTCTCTTAAACTCTCTTAAGTTTTAAGGTGGGGGAAAAGGAGGTCGGTGGAGGAGGCAGACAAATTTTAGACACCCAGGGTGAGGAGAGAGAGAGAGAGAGAGAGAGCCCTCCAACAATGTGACCTCTTAGCAACCCCTCCTCCACCTTTAAATGGCGTTTTGTTTCTGGAAATGCCTTAGATTAACCGAAATACTTCAGGTTAGCTCTTCTTTGGCGCAATTCCCCCGCTAGTCTCTGTGCTTCGGCGCTCGCACCATTCTAGCCACTGGCCGCTCCCAGCCCCAACCCGACCCAGTCTCTACCTCCTACTCGCACCCGCCAGCAGCTTACCAAAACTTTCGACAACCAACCTGCCTTTTATTACGCAAACGCCACCGGGGCTGTTTGAATCTTTCTTCTCTCCACCCCTATTTTCTTTCCAGCTTAGCTGGCTTTCTGGCTAGGCAAGCTGGGAGAATCTAGCGACCGAGCCGAGGCATCGGAATGCTGGAGGGAATGATCTCCGCAGGATTCTTCCACCAAGAATCCATGCAACGCTGGTCCAAGTGCCCGCGTTTGCAGAGTCCCGGGCCCCACTTCCTTCTTCAGCGGACAGTGTGGTACCCGATCTGCTACCCCACTTCACACCCCCGGAGTCCTGGTCCCCCTGAGTTTCTCCCACCCCGCGCCTACCTGGCTGGCTGGTGGCATTTGGGACGCGGTTGTAGGCTCCGCCGTACTGGTGGTAGGGGCTTGCGTAGCTGTAGTCGGCGTAAGTTTTGGCGGGGTAGCTCCCGGCCGAGCCGTTCACGCCGTGGTACTGATACTGGTAGGGGTTGAGCGCTTTGCCATAGGAAGCCGAGGTAGGAGAGCAGTAGCCGTGTGGGGCTCCCCCCGTGGGACTGTAGTAGTCGGAATCGGTGGCCGACGACTCGGGCAAAGTTGGCGATTCCTGAGACGGGTGGTGCATGGCTGCAGACGTCTGGAACGGAGCTTGGAAGTCGCCAGATCGGATGCTGGAGACTCTTCTGTCAAACACGCCTGTCATCGCTCAAGGCGGAGGCAGCTGTCCCTGCTGCTGCGGCGGAGCCTGCTGCCGGACTTGGCTGTGGGGCCGCTCCGGTCTAAGCAGACATGACTGTGGGAGCAGGGGAGGAGGAGGAAGAGGAGGAGGAGAGAAGGAGGCGGAGGCGGCCGCGGCGGCGGCGAGGAGGAGGCGGGGAGTCGTGGAAGCTCTGTCTCCAGCGGGCTGACTGCTGGCTGAGGTGCAGCACAGCCTTGGTTAAATCCTTAATTGCGCGCTTACGCACAGCGGGGTGGATCGGGTTCCATTGGCCAGGGCCTCGGGAGCGGCAGCAACACCCTAACTCGTCCAACTAGTTTTAGCACAACAAAGCATTGCTTGAGAGAGAGAGAGAGAGAGAGAGAGAGAGAGAGAGAGAGAGAGACAGAGAGAGAGAGACAGAGAGAGAGAGAGAAACAGAGAGAGAGAGAGAGAAACAGAGAGAGAGAGAGAGAGAGAGAGAGAGAGAGAGAGAGAGAGAGAGAGAGAGAGAGATGGGCGCGCACGTGAGTGCATCTATGCTGGGGGGGGGCGCTCAATCTGTTTTTTACTGAATACCAAAGATAACGCACAAATCCCCAAAACCAGCTCTGTGATGTCTGCAGACAGTGTTTTCTAGTCAAAGCCCTCAAAAGCACACTTTTGGAGGATGTGGAGGATGAAGTCGCTATGGTCTTCTCCCTACTCCTTGAGGGCTCCACCAAGGGAGAATGGAGAATTAAACAGTGATACTGAAATTGGAAGTCGAGGGAAGGAATGTAAGGTGAAGGTGAGAAGTAATGAAGAACATTTTTAAAACTGAGCCCAGGAAAACTAAGTTGTAACAATATGTCTTGAAAACTTTCAACTTGAAAATTTACCAGTGTGTAGCAGGCATTTCGTCTGCAGAAGTTGCATATCTCTCAGACAGGATACCCAGAGATGCTCAAGAATGAACTCTGCCCATTCAGCTGTTAGTGGCAGAGTTCTTACAACCCATTTGAAACTCACTGTGTTAATCACAAATAACTAATCACCCCTAAATTCACCTTGTTGGCTTCCTAAAAGTGCTGGCAACCCCACTTTTGTTCTATATTTCCATATATTAGAAACCACCAGAGCAGAGGATCTATAACTATTCAGTAGTCAAGATTCCTGAAAATAGGAATGAATCCAAGAAAGACCTTTTAGGTGGAGAAGGTGGGGGAAAATGTCTCAAGTGTTTTGGGGAAGCTGGTGGTGCTTTGTAGTCCTCCTCCTGACTCTGTGGCACTGGCCCAGGAGGTTCCTTCTTTCCGTTCCTCAAGTCTGGGTTCCGGCACACTCTCAACTTTGTGCCAACAAGACATCTTAGTTCAAAAAAAAAAAAAAAAAAAAGACATCTTAGTTCATATACAAAGCAAGAAAGAGCTCAACAATCTTAAACTGGGTACACATTGCCCAAAGTTTACTTTTTCTTATGTGCTACTTTTGGTTTAGCTGTGATACACATTGGGAGAGGGTTAGAAATTTCACACATCTGTTTGCTTCCCATTTTCACCCTCTTTGAATAGGCAACTGTAGAACCTGAGTCCTGATTTGAGACTATGACTTGAGAGATCAGATATTTGATATGGGACTGTCTGGCCTCTGTTTTCCTTCTTCTTCAACCAAAAAGTATCTGTGTTAGTTTTGTCCAATGGTAGTTTAGCCTTATTTTGACTGTGGGGCTATCCTGGTCCATAACAGTCCCAGAACTCAGAGCAAGATGCCAGCCCCACCCCTGAACTCTGAACAGCAAAGCACAGCAGTGGCTTGTGCATCAACCCTGCCTCTGCTGCCTGATCCAAAGAAAAGCACAGCTCTCAGTTTACTTCCTTTGGGGAGAAACTCCAGGGCCAGCATGCACAAAGAAGTTGTGGGGTTCCCTTCCAAAACAGATAGTCATGGATAAGATGCAGCTCCAGCTAACCTGCCCTGATTATCTGCCTTCAATTTCTCTACAGGTATTCACTTTCTGGATTTAGGCTGTGCAAAGTTTCAAGGTATTAAGGAAACTGCTGGTAGTATTGGGCCTTGGTCCTGGGTTCAGCTCTGGAGAAGTTCTCTCTATGTGCATGGAATCACATTACACACATTCTGCCTGATTACAGGAATTGCTCCCCAAACCAACACCAGAGAGGCCAAAATGCCTCCGGTCTGAGGCATGAGGTCAAGGAGCTGGGTAACCCTAAGATTGTTCCCCAGCCCCAGAACTCTGTTTTAGATTTTAACCTTAACAACAGAGAGGGGAGAGGAATGTGGTCAATACAATTATATTACCTGAGATGGCCTTTGCTATGTCCTCACAGCTTGACAGGAAGGCAGATCTTTTTCTTTTTCTTTCCTTCTTTCTTTCTTTTTTTTTTTTTAGAAGGCAGGTTTCTGTCAGGATGAGATTAGAAGCTCCCAAATTTGGGCAAAATTTACAACTTCTATATTCATTTCAGTACAATGATAAGTTAGCTCTGGACCTCTACCTCTCTACCTCTGTGATCAAAAAGGACATTTTTGCCCAAGTTATATAAAAGACAAAATGCAGTGGGTTAAGAGAGAAGAAGTTTGAATGTCTGAAGTGTCACAACTGTGGGTCTTCCTATGGATTTAAGTCACTTATGCCAAGTCTGCTCTGAATGAGACCAAATCTGGGGGTGTGTTGGAAAGTCCAGAGCCCCAACTTTCTTGACTGCTCTTTTAGTATGTTGAGTCCCCCAATCATTCTTCAAAAGGGAAGAGGTAGTGCTGAGCTAAAAGCAGGTGCAATATTTCCACACTGTGTAGTCCTGTTTCATTTCACAATGTAGTATTGCAGTTCTGAGCACTTCCAGCCC